AGCGTGTGTTAGTTTTATGTTTATACATCACACATGCTTTACCATGTTTTGTTTTTAGCATAAATTCGATGAAGTAAATTAATTCAAATACAATTCAAGCATAGTAAACATTTTAGAATTTTAGCATAAAAGTCAAAGTCTTATTAAGCCAGATTTACAAACATTTTGCATTGACCAAGTCTTAACTAATAAAATTACATTTAAAAAAATAATTTTTTAAATATATATATACAAATTGTTCAGTTGTGACACATCCTCTTGATGTTAAATCAAGACTACCAGCTAATTCCCGGACGCTGTAGCAGACCTTGTTTATTAAGTTGGACTTGAGACATTTCCTGAATGTCCTGTTCGGCTTTCAAATTCAAAGGGAGAGGAAGGTAATTAAAAAGTTTTACTGCATTAAAGTGGAAGTTTTTTCTAGCGGAAAGTGGTTGAGTACAACATTCAACTACTTTCTTGCTGAAAGAATTAAAATTCAAAATTTCAAGATTCAAAGATTGAACATTTTATATTGACTTAAATATGAATTTTATGGTATGGTTGTACAGTAGGCCTATTCGTTATTGCTGGAGTGTGTTGGTATTTTCTATTTTGTTTCTTATTATTTCACTAGCATCACAATAATTATTTCACCTAAATAGATAGTATTTTTAACTGGTTTACTTCTGGTACGACATTTTAAGAGGGACGTCTCCGAAACGGCCATAGTGCAGTATTACGACGAATATTAAAACAGAAACTGTATGCATCATAAACATGAACAAATTATCTTACTGGTCTGACTGTCTATACTAACTTAATAGCTGGTTTGACAGTTTCATTTAAATATTAATAAAATTGTGTTTACTTTAGGACCAGTGACATAATTTGTTAATGTTTGTGGCCCATGCCGTTTCTTTTCTAACAATCGTGACGTATAAATTGCGAAGGCGGTAAGATATAGTCTATCTATGCACTCACAATCTACTACACTAAAAAATCTGTTGTGAAATCTCTAAATATTTCCTTAGTTTGTAAAGTTTAACATGTCAAGCGAAATGAATTACTTCTTCAAAATCAACATAGCACTCACTTGAAGGGAACTTCTCAAATAAAGTAACAACACACTTTTTCAATAGACTATTTGCAATGCTTTAAGGTTTGGACCGTTGATTTGTAGGCCAGTGGAGAAGAAAGAGGGGAATTATTTAATACTGACTGGAACGGAATGGCAACACAGTCGGTTGTAGCCTTGGCGACCTTGGACTAAATGACAAAAAACACGTCCAGCAATATGACCTAATTCGTCAGCAGTTAGCACCACCTAATTCTGCACGCTACGCGAAACATTGATACCCATACCACAAATATCGCAGCATGTCTCCCTTCTTTACTGTATTTTTGGTTTTAAATAAAGTACATAAACTATTATTCCAGTACGCCTTTGGTTCAATTAGCAATAGGAAGATTTCAAAACCCAGGCATTAAAATACACATTTTCACAATTAATTACGATTAACAGAAGTGAAAATAAAAGAAACATACTAGCTAAGAAATTCAAAGAAAATAAATAAATGTTGCTATAATATCACACAAAGTTGACATTGATATAGCATACTAATATTTCCAACGAAACCAAAAAGATTTATTTTTGGATACAACATTTTATATTTGCAATTCTTAAGGATCAGTAGGAGAGAGTTTTAATGTTAAACATATATTTTAAGAAGTTTTTCCAAACATTTCTCTAAATCGAATATTATGGTTTCTCAATAAATATCTCTCCCTTTAAGCATTTTTCTTTTAAGGTAATCTTCGTGAAATCTTTACTTATTATAAGATTTTCCAAGATTTTAAAATCGAATCCAAACCAAATAGGCCTATGACTTAGTAATCAGCAGTTTTAATTCCAAAACACACAATACCAAGTTTAAACGTTCAATAGGACCGAGTATTCATACCATGGTCATTCAATTTACTACAAATTTGAGGAACAAAGCTCATATTTATAACAAAACGTGTGTGGGTCTTCCATATAACTACCCTGTCATACAGACTAAACCATCAAAAAATAAGCACGGTAAATAATGAAAAATTTTATCCCGTGGATTATTAAATTTTCTCAACTAAAAAAAGCTTACAATTTATCAATGTTTACGGCCGTAATTAAGTATTGCCAAGAAGTGAGATGAATACAAAATGCTGTATCTGCACCTCGCACAGCGGAGGGTGGTTTAGATATTGATCATGGCCATCAGACCCCAAACCCAGCCGCCCCAAGGGTAGCGAACCCAACACAAACCCACCTTTAATCAACCCCGCTTGTTTAACTGGAAAGTGAGTTTTAATTATTAACCTTCCCCAAGCAGTACTCCACATACTAGATATGTCGCCAACAATCATGATTGATTACATGTAAATTGGAAATAGATAATTTTTGTAATTTAAAATTAATGTGTTTGGGTTTTTAGAGCTATATAATGTTAACGTAACAATTCTGGATTTCGGTTGAAATAATGCAGTATAACTGTAAAACTCGAGGTATTTTAGGTACATACCTTACAAAGTTCAACAAGTGGTGGTAAAACTCACGACATGTTTCGTATATTCAGGCATCGTCTAGTTGATATTTACAAGAATGGTTCATCCAAATTAGATTCGCCAACTACAGTCAAACAAATACACATTATACGGACGTAGAAATCATTTTAACATTCAGAGTAGACCGGAGTAGACCTACGATTTACCGGCGACGAATAATAATTCGACGAAACATCCTTGTAAAGATCACCTGGCGATGACTGAATAGGCGAAACATGTGAGTTTCACCACCATTTCTTGAACTGTTGACGTAAGGTATGAACCTATAATAGTCCAATTAAACAGTTCAGGGGCTACACAATGAATTTATATCAGAGTATTCATACATAAAGGAACTACATAACACACAGTTTATACAATACTAGCCTCAATATGCGGATGTAGAGTTGAATTTGTTCTCAATAATATAAATACTACCCTTTCTACAGATGTACAGTTTAATTCGTGTCGATATGAGAACTTCGCTAGGAGAATGTAGTATTTAATAATTTGACCTCATTGATATATGCACTATCCTTAAGGGCTGCAGTGTCGTCACGTATGTGTCTCAACTTACAATACTAATCCTTAGGGGCGGAAGTATTGTTACATATTTAAATTATTTAATTTATTTTATATTTATTTACAAAAAATGCACAAATCCCGTTTTCTACATGACCTCATTAGTACAATACTATCATCAAGTGCGGATATATTGATGAATTTTTCCTCATTGATATAAATACTATCCAAACTGGCCGGCGGCACTGTTACGTGTATGTCTTCATAAATACAATGCTAAGCACAATACTTGATGGGCGGATGCATTTTCACTAATCTAGTCATTGCTACATACAATGAAGTACTTACTATCCATACTGTATGGGGTTTCCCTGTCCTCAACAAACACCACAACAATACTACTAAAATATTCAAAAATACTATTCTCATGGACGCATACATTGGTAACATTGTTTTCGTCAGTCAGTTTAATTCGTCAAACTACTACTAATTAGTAATTATGACCAAATTATCAATCATGCTGTAATCGTTGATAGCCTACAAATGGTATCTCGTGAATATCATTATTAATCTTACTGTCATGATTGGAAAATCCTATGTCACATATTAAACGACCTTATTATTAATCATAATTCTTTAATCGTGAACAAACGTTAACACGTAGTTACTCTCATTATCGTCTCCACAAACAATTTTGTTACGTAAATTTTCTCTTTATTTATCATACCGTCTTCATTATAAACTAATGTTGTCACGTAAATGTCCTTAATATCAAAAAATATTGATATTAAATATTTTTAATATTTAATATCAATATCAATCACACAAACCACCTTGTTATCACACTATTATACTTCCAAACGAATTATGTAACGTAAATGTCAACACTATTTGACAAAATTTTTGCCATAAATTTCATGGGTGCACCGTACAAGGTATAATTATTTATACCTTTATTATTTTGTTCATTTAATCGATATCCGTCAAAAGTACAAATCAGTCAATGAAAGAGCACCTGGCCTTCGATTTAGTTATAAATAAGCGGTCCCCCATAAATTACAATGGAGTAGCTATTTTTGAATTGTATTACTTCTCAGCAAATACGTCGCTAAAGTTAAAATGTTTATAATGATTTGTCTTGCTAACATTATGAAGAATACTAACGCAACTACTCCACTGGTGTTATGTTCAGTGATGTGACATTACGTTTCAGTGGGCGTGTGAGCCAACTGATCTAGGAGTTTAGTCATATTCAGTTCAATTTAATATACTTTATCTTTGACATGGAAATAAGGAATTTTTCGCCTACATCACGTCTGATTCTACAGGTCGGTCTCGGGTTGAGCTCCAGTGTCTGTATTGATCACAGGAGGATCTAACTTACCCCAACCCTCCCGCATCGCAGTCTCTCGTTTTGTGACAGTTGGTTTTCACTATATTTTATTTATTTTTACAAAATCAAAAGCGGTGTTTGTGTTTTTATTATTGTAGCTACCTTTAAATATGTAGTAGGCCTAATGAAGTTTTATGTTTAAATTATTTCAATTTGTGATTAATCTTTAAAGTCGTATTACAAATTGATAAAACAATGTATTATATTCATTCAACCCCCAAATTGATGGAATTAACATAGTAAAATAGATTACATATCTCTAAATCAACATTCTACTTATTATTGTAGAATATTAGCTTACTGGAACCACGCTGTTTTGTGTTGTTTCGTTGGAATCATGATGTGCGCCAAAGTATAAACCGTATGACAAAGTATAAATATGCAGCAATTAGCAGCTTTCTGTACTATAAACAGTACAAGGAAGCCAACTTTGTCGGGTGACTGTAGGAAAACAATATATTTAACAAAGAAAATATAGTCTGAACTACATACTTGTTATTGTTAATACATTGAATGAACTTACGGCTATTTCTGTTTCCAGCTGCTAGATGTTCAAGACATTGGGTCGGTGGATGACCTGAAAAAAAATAAAAGTGTTAGACTAGCACTCGAGTATACTCTAACATTCGTATATAAATTACGTTATGCGTTGTTAAAAACTGTACTCCCCTCATAAACGTTTCTATTGTGATACATAAAAATACAAACACAGCGATGTTATTTCCAAAGTCAATGCATCCTTTATTTCAAGTAAAACATATTATAGATGTTCTATTTTCTAAAATATATTGTTTGTATTACTGGTGTTTATTTTTTTTTAATACATAGAGGTATCAGATACGATTTTAAGTTCAAAAATGGAAAAATCCAATTATTATCCTATAAAACCTGTTCCCATGGTTCAACCTCAATGGCTGTTTCGCGAACTCGTTCGAATAAATGTAGGATTACACGTTTGCACCGAATTGCGTCAAAATCGGGTGTTTTTTACTTGAGTTATCTTGCTAAGACACAGACACACGTGTATATGAATTAAAACGGACTATATTTTTGACCTCTGGGGACATCAAGCCAAAAAAGCAAACGGTTCCGGGTCTCGGTCTTACCATGATACCTACGGTAATTGCTTATTTCCTTATGGGAAATTCGCTAAAAACCACCTTTTTATTTATCATTTTTGATAGCTAAGTTTATCAAAACTCAGATGAAAAATTAAATAGCAAAGCCATTGAATGATTACGCCTTAAATATGGTTCTTCATATTTTTTTGCATTTGTTTTATAGTTAGCATTCTATGGCACACAATGTGTAAGATAGGCCTACAGTTTAAAATTATATAGAGCAAGTGAAGATTAAAATAAACAAATCACAGAAGTCGGTAAATATTTGTTTCTATGGAAACAATATACGTCTGCAATCCAATTTCTTATAAACTAAATGGATGCAATTTTCTGTCAAATTTGGTATGTGGTTGGAATGAGTTCAGAAGAGTATGATGAAGTAAAGTAGTTGAGTGTTGAATATATGACAGAGTTTGTCCGTTGACAGCCAATTACTCCAGAAATCTTGCATGGGGTAACAAGAAAGTCTGGATAGATAGGAGTTATAAAACCATACGGAGATTTGATGTTGTACTGTACTCGCAAGGTGTTGTTCTTGAGAATAAGTAATATTCTCTCTTCAGATGAATTGTTAAATGTCAAAGGAATTGCTGTTGAGAAGGATATGGTAAATCAGATAAAACGAGTATAGAGAAATAGCGTTCATACCACAGAAAAGTTGATGAATCATCTGAGAACTTCAAGAGGAAGCCGCTAAAGAGACAACTGAATGTTCTGCCTGGGGATACACGAAATTAACATCTCAAGGACTTCAAAGATGCGAAAAAGAAAACGTAAAATTTTATTGATGACGGACTTTTTAGGATGTAGTGTCTCAAATTATGTATGTATCTAGTATTAGTATCTTAGTATTAATTTTAGTCTGACCGAGTGAGGTAGCTATGCTATTTCACATTCGGGAGGTCTGACTATCAGGCCGACCATTCTGAGGAGAGTTTGTACGGTTTCTTTCCTCACTTAGGCGAATGCCGGAATGGTTCCCTCAAGGGCCGTACCCCGCCAGGCAGAATGGAAGAAAGGACTCTGTCCTAATTCTGTTTGGTTTAAAATCCCCTAAGTAGGCTACCCTAAAATAAACATTAATTTCCACTTTTACGTTTTGTATTTTTTACATCTCTAATACGATATGTTTATATGACTAAGAAAAAGGTATGCTTTCTAACAGGCAGAACGAATGACAGGAATCTTAATTCTGCTTGGTTGAAAACCCCAGGTAATAGTTTAAATTCAAAAGAAAAAACAGGTAACCGTTTTATATTTTGTGTACTAGTTTTATAATTAATTTGTTTCCATGTTTTGTTTTTGTCAACAAATATAAAATAAGCTGCAAACTTGAGGGCTTCTTCAAAGGAAACATTCTAAAAGACTTAAGAGTTTTGAAGAGTTTAAAATATTTTAAAAAATAGCTCAAGGAGCGTATAACCGGATTTTGTAAATAGATTGTAGGTGAATGTTTACCTATAAACTATTGCCTTTTAGTAATAGTAAGAAAAATTATAATTCGACGCATTGTGTCAAAATACTTGTACAGTATTTGCAAAAACATTGGAATTCGCGGGTTTAGGAGGTTGAGAGAATCGGGAAAAGGGGGAAATGATCAATACACCAACCCCTCCTGACCTTAATAGTGTAACTAACCCTCTTCTATGAAAAAACCTCCCCAGTCTATAAACCTCCCCAGAATTAAAGAACGTTTTGTATTTATTTGTTTAATACCATATTTCAGAACTCTTTGAAACCACTTGTTCATAGGTTTAGTTTTAACAATCACATGCAGCCATGTGACAGCAGGCCTCTTTATTGCGCGTTTGTGTATTTTCTAAATTAGTTGTTTTGTTCTTGAAACTCAGTTCTAGACATAGCCCATAGATTTGTCGGCTTCCAAAGTGTAGTCAGACAGAATTCACTGTCAAAATGGAACGACGTGGTTACATGTATACATTTTGTATACATGCTCATTATAAATGAAGATTATTTTAGTCGTTCTTTCAACTTCAAACTAGGTAATATGTCAATAAATATCATAAATTCGGTTTTTATTTTCACCACAATGTCGATTACCGTTACACATCAAAATATAGGTTAGTAAAGATATTTCTAATTGTATACAAATAAAATTAAATTGCTATTAGCTTGTTTAAAAGTAAACCCCGACAAGGAAGTACAGTACTGCAATACCTGATAACTATAGTAAGTCGACATGTCATGTTTTAAAATCGAAAGGTTCTAATGTGACAAATAGCTGAGAAATTACAGTTTTAGTCGCAAAAAGAGGCGAACCCTGACTGCTTAGGCCTTATTTTGCCTGAACCGTACAACTAAAAATCATGATTTCTCAGCTAATTATCATAATATGATGTTTTTTTTTAACTAGGTGTTGTTTGATAGGGATTTTAAAATGCTTTTAACTTTTAAATAAAAGTTTATGCCTATTTAGAATTATTTAATAAAATCAGCAATTTTTTTTAAATAGAACTTGTGGAAAATGAAATTGCCACCATTTTGAAAGGAAGCTGTGTTTTAATCATTTTTTGCTCAATAGTTTAATTTGATAAACGGTATACAAAATTTAAATTTTTGATATTTACGAGTATATCTTAAATAGCGTTAAAGATATAAGTTTAAAACATAAATAACAAAGAGGCAAATATCTTGCTAACGAGGTTTAAAAATTTTATTCTTAATTTTTTACCCATTAAACATATTCCTAAATGATGTTTACTTACTAACAAGGTCACAAGACGGATCTTTTAAATTGATTAAATGATATAGTCCTCGAACAATCCATTATGTATTCATTTGTTTACAGTATGATCATATAATTATTAACTACTTTCATCACTACTCGATATACAGTAGGCCTAGTTAGTTACACATTCTAGTTATTTTCAGCAAATCTGCATAGCTATAAAATGAAATACATATTCTATCACTTCTCAGAATGCCCACACGTATACTAAAATTATTTAATACTAGCTGTAACCCGCGGGCTTTGCCCCGTTTAACTTCTTAATTTTCAAGATTATCTCGTTTGCATGGCTCAATCACGTCCTGGTTGAAATTTGTTCACTACGCTCACTCACCTTTAGGTTGGAGCTCGTTCGCTACGCTCACTCACATTTAGGTTGGAGCTCGTTCGCTGCGCTCACTTGCCTTCAGGTTAGCTCGTTCGCTACGCTCACTCACCTTTTGGTTGCAAATTAGCTGTTGTCATAAATGTAAAAGAAATAATAGTGCTGCACCCTGTTGGTAATCCTTTTAACTTTAATGCTATTGAACATCATAGAACAGAACCAACTTGTTTAATTGAAACAGCTGTTAAAATTCAATAATTCCATTTCTCATAAGGTTAACATGGGAAACTCCAGAGCCACTGGGGCGGAGCCCAAAAGGATTTTTGAAATAAGAATATGCCTATATGTTAATCGGGAATGTGAGCTATCATCATGCCAAATTTCAGCCCAATCCGACCAATATTTTTCGCGTTCACTTGTCACAAACATACATCCATACATCCATACATCCATACATCCAAACTTTCTCATTTATAATATTAGTAGGATATAAGATATCCAGGACTTGAGATATTTCACCACATGGAGACTCGCGGGAGTGGGACATATGTTTAGTCACAGAAAACATACGAGTACTACTAGTAGTATATGTTTAGTCACAGAAAACATACTATTAGGTTATAGTAGTATGTTTGCTGTGGTTTAGTGGGCTCAGGTAGACCATACTGGAGCCCAGATAATATGTCAGGGATTTTCGTATCCAAGTGTTCGTGCGAGACTTCTATTCTTAACTGTTTTCATCATACGTAAGGGTGTCACATTAAAATAAGATATATTAATATGTACGTGTATTCATAAAAGGAATATTAGTAATTAAAAAAGACTAATATTACATATGTAGCTCCAAAAATGTTGAGCTAAATATGAGCAAGTTATTTAAGTAGGACGAGAATAGTTATCAGAGAATTTTATGAAAAAAGGAATCTATTGTGAAAATTTGAGATAAAAGAATGATTAGGTAAAATAATAAGAATAAAATTCAATTCACATTTGGTAAAAGCTTACTAACGAGGAAGACAAATAATGTAGTATTCTTATTCAATATTCCATCTTCCAATAAAATCTTATTCAAAATGTGTGTGAAATAATTACGATTAAATTAACTACTTAACATTATTATACCAATATTTTATTATTATTATCATTTCAATATTTTATTATTATTATTCCATCTTTCAATAAAATCTTATTCAAAATGTGTGTGAAATAATAACGATTAAATTAACTACTTAACATAATTATACAAATTTTATAGTACCTATACGCTTCAAGAGCCAGTATTTATTGCGCATTACTAAGGCCAAACAACTACACTAACCGACTCTAGGAATTAGATAACACTATAACGGTAGTAAAACTCCCGAAACATTATTAAAATAATA